AACACTCCATATATATTCAGCCACAGTTGATTTTAAATTTGAAATAAAGCATGCACAAAAAAAGAGAAAAAAAACATAAAAAACAGTACAAAGGGTATAAGTGTAAACCAGACTTATTAGAGCCTGTACTGTGTAAATGTCACAAAAAAATGATCAACCTCAACATATTTATCACATCCATATCATTTGAGCTCTTTAGCAACAGAGCAGGGTCTCTTAGTTTCTTCACAATTAACCGGACAAAAGGTTGGAAGGCCAGTTGTTTTACCTGCACCTTAAAAACACAGAATCAGGATATATTTATGGTACATGATGTGGCAGTTTAACAAAAGCGTGTATAATACTAACACAAATAGTAAGGCAAAAAGCTTTTTTTTTTTTTTTTTTAAAAGTGTCCTGACTTATTAAAAATGACAACTAGCCAAACTGTTCTCACATTATCTTCTGTCTGGAGTTAACCTTCTGTGTACTCCATGGGCTCAGGTGAAGACAAGAATTCAAAGAAAGCCTTCAAAATCTCATCATCTACAGCCACTGAACTGTTGACTACATCTTTAAACTTGGTGAGATTTCTGCTCTCAAAGTGGCTTTTCACACCAACCAAAAAGTCTTGCTGTCGATCGCATTTGCAAGCGAGGCATTCCTTCAACACATCAAACTTTTCTCTCTCCACCATCTGAATAATGATGCGTTCAATTATGTTGATAAAAGGATACCCAAACTCTATGACACCTTGCTTTTGACCCTTTGCATCAACGTATGGATACCCTCCTGTATGCATTGCAACAACATTGCCATCCTCGTTAAAGACAGGAGAGCCAGAGGAGCCATCATATAAACAAGACTCGTAAGTCAGAAGTTGTTTGCGCTGTTGAACATCAACTGCAACATTTTCGAAGAAACGATCAGTAAGAAGTTGAACACAGTCTTGATTGTCTTTCCAGTGCCTCTCTGCAACCTGTTTACAGTTCTCTTGTGAAACAACCAAACAGACATCAATTTTTTTTACACTGTTACCTGGATATCCAATAATACAAATTCCACCACTGTGGCGAACAAATCCACTGTGTGTTAAGAGACGATCAGGCAACTTCTGATCAGCACTGAGCTTTAACAAAGCCCAGTCAGTCCCTGACACTTCCGGAATTTTTTCAATACCAACAACCTCTTCCACATCTATCAGGCCATCTTTCTCCTCCAAACTTTCAAAAGAGAAAGTCACAGCAACCTGCTCATTAAGCCCACCGTTATCATTACAGAAGTCTTGGATAACATGGGCATTTGTGAGGATAAAATTGCCAAACAGGAGGAAACCACTTCCACGTGGTTTCCCATTTATTCTCACTTGACAAACAGAATTACTGAGTTCCATGAGCTTCTTCATTGTTTTCACATCTTGACATCTTTTAGCACTGCTCCCAAAATCCTGACGGAAAATATTCTGGATGCGAGAAAGCTTAGGAACTTGAGCTTTCTTGCCTTTTACCAAAATGTTAAACTGTGCAGACAAATCAACTTGCAGCTTTTTTGAAAAAGGTAGTCGTTTTCCTGGAGCCATATTTCCACAGAGATCTGTTTTTTTCTACTGTGTTGTCAGTCTCTGACTTAACTGTGTTAGTCTGCTGTGAAAGCTCCGCATGTCCACCAGATTCACTTGTCTGAGATTCACTCTGCAGCACATAAGTGTCATCAAGACTGCCAGACTGACTTGTTGGTGGATTGGACTTGTCGAGCAATTTGATCCTAAAAGTTTCACTATCCAGATCGTTGACCAAACTGCTCATCTCTATTTCTACCTCAGTGCTTGCATTAGAGAGCACACAGTTCTTAGTGAACACACTACTGTAAAAACGACCATCTCTTTGTAGAGCTTGCTTTACTTTTTCCCCTTTGTATGCGTAAACAGTAATTTCCGGGAAGCCTTTTTGTAGTTCTCGATTTTTCAGGATTCTGACAATATTTTCACCTCCCCTCGTCAACAAATGAAACATCACAAGCTTGCTAGATTGTCTCTTGTTGCAAGAGACACTCACTGGTTTCTCTGGTGTCTCTACAGCTTTCACAAACTTCAGAGTCAGACATTCATCTTTAATTAATCTGCATGGAAAGTGTGAAGTGATCGCTCTTGCATTTTTTACAATAACAAGCTCTTTGCCCTTCTGCTTTCCTGCAGCTGTACAGAATTTTGGACTTTTCTTCAGGCAATCTTCAATAGTTTGTGCTTGATCACAGGTATATTTAGATTTCGTCTTGTAACTCCACTCAAAAGAATGAGTCAGATGAGGCTTCTCTTCCTAGGAAAAAGAAAAGAAAAGGTCTCACTTACCTTCTAGAACCTTATTCTAGTCAAACAATACCATCCTCTTATGTCACTTTGCATTATTAAAGAAATCCAACTCAAATCTTTAATTAAAATGCCTAAAAAATAAATAAAATAATTGTGTTTTATTCATTTCCTACACAAAAAAGAATGAATAAGACATTACCAATAGGCTTTAAACTCAAGAGGTGGGAGTGCTTGATAGTAATAACATGACAACCCCAACATGGAATGGCTGCCACAGAATATTGTGCTCTCCTTGTCCCTTCAGACTATTTTTAATCTAGTTTTGCCTTTTGCCACTGCTGATACCTGCAGTGACATTCAGGATGCACAGGCACTCAAGTTCTTCCAGAAAGGTGAATTCACATGGGCAACAATCTGTGCCCACAGCATGTAAAACAATTTAGTTTTTGGAAGTGGTCTTGATGTTGCTTCTCCAGTGCACCCGTTGCCACTTTTGTTTGCACCAAAGCAAATGAAATGGAGTCACAGTGGTTTATGCTTTCTGACTAAGTTTGACTCACTTTGTCTCAAACTGATGATCAAGTGTCCCACTCAGTTTGTTTTAAAGCCTATCGTATGTACACTGTAGCCTGACAAATTAAAACATACCAGTAAGCAAAGTCATCTGTGATGGTTTATATTAACCAAGGCAAATACAAATTTGATTATAGGAGAAAATCAGCACCTCAGTGTCTCTTTGCACTTCATTTCCGCTCGCCATCGTTCCAGCTGAATTTGAGAAATGCTGAATTCGACAGTCGGATACTGCAGGTTGTTATCTAAAGGCAAGGATAAGTGATTAATTTCTCACTTTTTATTGTGTTTATTCATGTCAGTGTGACATATAGAAATACATAGAACAAGTACAGATTACATGAGTCTTAAAAATGGGTTTGCATTATATCACACCCATAATTCTTAAATGTGACCTAAAAATAAAAGCAATCTTAAATTAAAGTTTATAAAGATCTAAATAGGCTAAAAAAAAAAACAAAGGGGGACCTTTAATTACAGTTGAAAACAATAATGCGGACTTGCTTGATTGCCAACCAAAACACAAAGAAACACCAAAAGCGAGACGTTAAAGTGTTAAAACAAAGAGCAGGAGTAATGAACCACACACCAAACACTTGCTGGGAGATGAAGAAGCCGGTTTACAGATCTTTTCTCCGTCTGGCAGGAAGGTAGGTACCTACAACAGAAAAAAAGACCAACACACATTCAGGCAAAGATCACAGTAGCCCCAATGAGAGTGATTATAGCAATAACAAACTGGAAATCACAAATTTGCACAAGAGAAAAAAAAAAGAAAAAAGAAAACCCAAGATCTGCTGTGAAAAGATTTAAAGACAACAAAAAGTAAGATATTAGTGTTTATATGATTTCAAGACGACACAGACAGCAGTACAATATCTGGCTGTAATATTTAGTAGTTTGTTGCGAAAATGCACAAATTACTAGAGGAGCTGGTGGGGAGAGGGAGGTCTGGGCTTCTCTGCTTAAGGTGCTGCCCCTGCGACCCGGCCACAGATAAGCAGAAGAAAATGAATCAAACATACAGCTCTGCTATCACTTCTGACATAAATGAAG